GAGAGAGAGAGACTTTGTTTGGGAGAAATAAGGGAAGAAAACAAGAGTCTCTGTCTGGTAATTCAGAGAATTCCGGATCTTATCCAAGACCACCAAGGCAGTACCTCTACAAGCCTGCAAGGAACACAGTGTTACTGGGCTTGGGGTAACCCCTAATGCAGATACACTTAGACTACGATACCCAGCTCCCTTTGAATATCTGGAAAGGCTTCTGAAGAAAGATGGGTACAAAGAAGCCCAGACTGCAAAGACTACAATGAATACCTAACTCTTCAATGCCCAGGTACTGATGAATATCCACAAGCATCAAGACCCTCCAGGCCAACAGGACCTCACCAAGTGAACTAAATGAGGCACCAGGGTCCAGGCCTGGAGCAACAAAGATATGTGACCTTTGAGGCAGGTAATTCAAAATAGCTGTTTTGAGGCGAATCAAATAATTTCAAGGTAACACAGAGAGGAAATTCAGAAATCTATCAGATAGACTTAACAAAGAGATTGCAATACTTAAAAGAAATCAAGCAGAAATTGTGGAGTGGAGGATGCGGTTGGGAGGGTGGAGCACGATGGCGAAACGGAAGCCTCCATTGGTTGTTTATCCTGCAGGAAAACAAAATTTTAACAACTAAATACACACACAAAAAGACTGTGTAAAAAACTAATAACTGTGACCACTTTTCAAGACATAGACAGTACCAAGAGACACAAAGAAAAATGATAAAAAGTTAAAAAGTGGGTGAACACCAAAGAACTAGAAATTGTTCTACTGCAAAGACACATGCACACGTATGTTCATTGCAACCCTGTGTACAATAGCAAAGACCTCGAACCAACCCAAATGCCCCTCAGTGATAGACTGGACAAAGGAAAATGTGGTACATATACACCATGGAATACTACGCAGCCATAAAAAACGATGAGTTCGTGTCCTTTGTAGGGACTTGGATGAATCTGGAAACCATCATTCTCAGCAAACTGACACGAGAACAGAAAGCCAAACACCGTATGTTCTCACTCATAGGTGGGTGTTGAACAAGGAGAACACATGGACTCAGGGAGAGGAACATCACACACTGGGGGCAGTTGTGGGGGTAGGGGAGAGACAGTAGGGGGTGGGGAGGGAGGGGAGTGTGGGGAGGGATAACATGGGGAGAAATGCCAGATATAGTATGCACCTAAAGTAAAATAAATAAAATTATTTTTTTAAAAAGTGGGTGAATGAAGTTAAAGTGTAGATTCTTTTATTAGTTATCTTTTGACTTATTTGTTTGTGTATACAACCAGTGCTAAGTTGTCATCAGTTTAAAATAATGGGTTATAAAATAGTATCTGGAAGCCTCATGGTAACCTGTGGAAAAACAGAAAATGGATATGTAAACAATAAAAAGCAAGAAATTAAATTGCACCACCAGAGAAAGTCATCTCCTCTCAAAGGAAGACAAAAAGGAAAAGGAAACAAGGACTACGAAACAACTAGAAAGGAAATAAATTGGCAGAATCAAGTCCTTATTTATCAACAGTAACGCTGAATGTAAGTGAATTAAAAGCTCCAATCAAATAGCATAGAGTAGCTGAATAAATATTTTTTAAAACCCCGATGATCACCTATAGAGACAAACATGGACTGAAAATAAGAGGAAGGAAAGAAATATTCCATGCTAATGGAAGCCAAAAAAGAGAGCCAGTAGCTATACTCCTGTCAGACAAAATAGATTTCAAGACAAAGACTGTAAGTAGAGATAAAAAAAAAAAAAGGTCATTATGATAAAAAGTTAAAAAGTGGGTGAATGAAGTTAAAGTGTAGATTTTTTTATTAGTTATTTTTTTGCTTGTTTGTGTATACAATCAGTGCTAATTGTCATCAATTTAAAATAATGGGTTAGAAAATAGTATCTGGAAGCCTCATGGTAAATAGTATCCGGAAGCCTCATGATAAAGAGGTCAGCTGAGCAAGAAGATATAACAATTGTAAATATATATGCACTCAACACTGGAGCACCCAGATATATAAAGCAAATATTACTAGAGCTAAAGAGAGGGATAGACCCCAATACGATAATAGCTGGAGGCTTCCACATCCCACTTTCAGCATGAGAGAGATCTTCCACACAGAACATCAACAAAGAAACATCAGACTTAATCCGCACTGTCGAGCAAATGGATCTAATAGGTATTTAGAGAACAGTTCATCCAACGGCCGCAGAATACACATTCTTTTCCTCGGCACATGGATCACTCTTAAGGACAGACCATGTGAGGTTACAAGTCTTCAAACATTCAAAAAATCGAAATTATATCAGACATCTTCTCTGACCACAGTGGAATAAAACTAGAGATGAAAAACTGCAGACATTTTTGAAACTATACAAATACATGGAAATTAAACAGTATGCTCCTTAATGGCCGGTGGGTCAGTGAAGAAATTAAGAAGGAAATTTAATAGTTTCTTGAAATGGATGATGATGGAAATATAACATACCTAAACTATGGGATACATCAAAAGCAGTGCTAAGAGAGAAGAGCATATCTAAAAGCATCTACATCAGAAAGGAACAGAAATTTCAAGAAGAACTAATACAATCCTACTCAAACATTTTGAGAAACAGAGGAGGCGGGAATACTTCCAAACTCACTCTACAAGGACGGTATTACCCTGATACCGAAAACCAGACGAAGACAATCTAAGAAAAAAAAAAAAAGAAGAAGAAAAGAAAAAGAAAAAAGAAAGCTACAGGCCAGTTTCTCTGATGAATATCGATGCAAAAATCTTTAGCAAAATATCAGCAAACCGAATTCAGCAATACATTCACAATTTGACTTCTTTCTTTCTTTCTAATTTGGGTGCCTTTTATTTCTTTCTCTTGTCTGATTGCTCTAGCTAGGACTTCCTGCACCAGGTTGAACAAAAGTGGTGAACGTGGACGTCTTGTTGTGTTCCAAATCTTAGAGGAAAGACGTTCAGTCATCATCAAGATCAAGTGGGATTTATACCAAGGATCCAAGGACGGTTCAACATATGCAAATCAATCGATGTGATACATCATATCAGCAGAATGAATGATAACAACCATACGATCATTTCCATTGATGCTGAAAAAAGCGTTTGATAAAATTCAAAATTCCTTCATGGTGAAAGCCCTCACAAAACTGGGTATAGAAGGAACATACAGACCCAGAGCTCTCCCTCACCCCTCACTATCCTTTCCAGCCTCTGGTAATTATCCTTCCACTTATTTGCAGATGACATGATCTTGTATTTGCAAAAACCTAAGGATTCCAACAATAAACTATTTGAACTGATGAACAAATTCAGGTAAGTTGCAGGATACAAAATCAACACACAAAAATCAGTAGCATTTCTATATGCCGACAGTGAACACTCTGAAAAAGAAATCAGGAAAGCAGTCTCATTCACAACAGCTACAAATAAAATAAAGTACCTAAAGGATTTGTTATTTATTCTAGTCTACTCTGGCTTGTTTGGAAATTTATGTTTGCTTAGAGATTCTGCGTAATTTACCTGTTGAATGTCTTATTTATTTTCTGCTAGGCAATTGCCTCCTTTACAGCATTAGGTGGTGCCTTAAGCCCAAGTTTGTCTCGTCTAAGCGAATGATCAGACTGCCGGCCATCCAGAATGGGGGAGGTCCCAAAGGTGTTATCTCGGCAGTGTGGAAGAGCTAGCTGGCTAAGGGTCCGTGCCCAGGGGGCCCCGTGGAACATACCACCTACAGTGTGGTGCTACTGAACAGCCGTTCTCATTTGGCATCTCCTTTGGCTGAGTTACAGAGCAGAGGCTCCAGGGCTGAGGACGATACTTCTGCCTCCCCGTTTTGTGTCTGGCTGTCCTCAGGGATGTTTCTCCCCTCAGGCACTCACGATGCTTCCTGTGGGTTGAGTCAGGAACAGGTGTCCTGCCAGGGACCCCGAGATGGTGGGGAAGCTGACCTTTCACCTCAGTATCACTTCTTCCATGTAGAAACCATGAGTTGGTTGGGTGCGGTAGCTCATGCCTGTCATCCTAGCACTTTGGGAGGTCGAGGCCAGGGGATGTCCTGAGGTCAGGGTTTGAGACCTGGTCAACATGGTGAAACACCATCTTTACTAAAAACACAAAAATTAGCCGGGAGTGGTGGTGCACGCCTGTAATTCCAGCTACTCGGGAGGCTGAGACAAGAGAACCGCTTGAACCCGGGAGGCGGAGGTTGCAGTGAGCTGAAATCACGGCATTGCGCTCCAGCCTCGGCAACAGAGTGAGACTCCGTCTCAATAAAACAAAACAAAACAAAACGAAATAAAACACCACAGACCTCTCTCCCCACACACAATAACCTTGAATGGTGTCTGCATTGCTCCTGTCTTTGTTCAATATCCGGTCTCTTGGTTTTGGGAGCTGGCAGAATCTACACACACCTCCTCACTGGGACCGGAATCTGTGTCCATGTCTCACGCCCACCCAGCCCGGAATTCCGGCTGAAGGAAGGAGGCCATCCCAACTGTCAGGGTGGCTGAAGGCAGAATAGGGAGCTCAAGGAAATCTCGGGTGACCTCTAGAGGCAGCCTGGAAGACTGAGCAGGGACACGGAAATACCATGTCCACAAAAACCTGGGGCCTTGGGGGTGGTGGAACGGTATTTGATGGTGACTATGGAAGAACAGTCATGCCTAGTATCCACACCTGCCCTGGAAAGCAGGTGGCCATTTTCAAATCAAGGGTATGGAGTCGACCGTCTGCAGAAGGGGCTGTTGGCCGCCTATAGGACACCAAGGATGTGGAAGCCGCCTTTCGTGTAGCTGCTGGCAGGCAGTTTCCACCAGGTTGGCCCGCAGGCTCCAGAACAGACCATTGCCCCCACCTCCAACCAAGAGACTACCCCGCCCTTTTCTTCCGAGCTCCCTGTGCCTTCCCTTTTGCTTGGCCACCCACCGGGATGTGGCTTCTGCCTCCACCTGGCTACTGAAGCTGAGGAAGAGACCTGACGGGATTTGGTAACTGAGGTTCAAAGGTGACGGCCGAGAGAGGAACTGAGGATGCCGCGCGGGTTCCTGGCCCAGATGACCTGTGTGCGCGCGGTGGAACCGGAGGGACAGAATGGCTCCAGAAGGAGGACTGCGCCCCTGAAGGGGAGGATGGGCTCTGCTGTGTTCCTCGACAGCGCGGAAATAACTCTGCAGGAAAGGCCACCGGCGTCAACCCACTGGGGAGAGCAAGGATGCTCATGACGGAAAGGACAGTGACAGGGCAGAACCGGGACAGAGCGAACCACAGGAGGAAAGACAGGAGACACCGGGGTTCTGGAAGGAGGCCTTCAGTGCCTGCTGAAGGCGAGGGAGAACAGTGCTGAAGAAGGGGACTTGTGAGACCCCAAAGCAGGAGGAGAAGAGGAGGGACCATGAGCAAGGCGTGTAGGGGAAAGGCAGGAAATGTTGCTGTGGCCGGGCAGGGCTCCCAAAGCACCTGGACCCAGAGCACTATGGTGACTGGAGGGCTGCTGCGCAGAGGCCGGTCCAGGCACGTCGCAGGGAGAGGGCCCACCGCAGAGCTCCAGGGACACTGTTCTTCCAGCGCCAGGGAACAGAGCAACACTCCCCGCCGCCGCCCCCACCCCTCCCCCGCCCCCCGCGCCCAGCCCTCCAACAGTTGCAGAGAGGGCAGACCACGGACCACAGAATATGAGAATGACTTTATTTGAAACTGCTGTGAACTGCGGCGGGAAGAGGGCAAGCGCAGAGGAAGAGAGGAAGCCTTGGCTGAAGAGGATTCGGAGGGAACCAGCTTGGCTGCAGCTCAGGGGCTCCAGAGGTAGCAGCTGCACATCTTGTAGGAAGACGCTGGCTCCATCCTGTGAAACAGAGCAGGTTCAGGGACAGGCCCCCAGCCAGGGCCAGCACACAGCCCTCCTAAGCTACCGGGATTGTGGGAAGGGGAATGGCGTGTCCAACACTCACTTCAAAAGTCCTGGGACTTGTCAACGAGGCACTGCATGGCCACTGAAACAGAGAGGCAGAACTGGGCTCTCCAGGCCCAGGGAAAGAGAAACCCACCCCCTGCCCACTTGGGGAACCGCCTAACCCTGCAACCTGAAACCCCAGCGGCGGCCCTGGGACTGACTAGCCCACCGGTCACCTGAAGCTAAGGTGGAAATGCCTTCTAAGCGGGAAAGTGGTTCTCAGGTGTTGGGGCATCCCAGAACCGTTCAGAACGTGTTTCCAAGACAGATACGCCAGCCACCAAGCAAAAACCGCACAAGCCCTACCAGGCAGCAGTTAAAGGGAGAACACATGCGGTATCTCTAATGGCCCTAAGAGAAGGAGATCTCTGGGACTCGTGGACAAAGTGTACATGGAGTTCAGACGACCCTTGCTGTCTGTGCACACCCCAGCTGGAAAGGCACGGAAGGCTCCAGGGCCAGGCCTGCTTGGTTCTCTTCTCCAGGGGAAAGTCAGTTCCTGTGATGCGGCCTGCACCTGCACCCCAGCCCCACCCTCGGCACCTGCAGAAAGACAGCGCTGCCCATCCCTGCCCCAGCCAGGGCTCCGTCATACCTAGTTGCTCCCTAAGGTCCTCAACTTCCCTCTGCAGCCAGACACACTAGACCGCCAGACACGGGAGGAAGAGAAATGGTCACGGGAGGAAGAGAAATGGTTGGTCAGCTCTGGTCCCCTCTCTCCCTGTCCTCCCTCTCTCCCCCAGCCGTGATAGCACCCATAGCCTGCAGCCCGGTGGTGAGGTAGATTGGCACACAACCCTCAATAAAAAGGCGGCACCCTCTCTCTGTGGGGTGTGGAAGACAGAGGCCTGGGGGACCCAGGAACCGGTTTAACCTGGACACGGATCCGACCATCTAGTGTGGACCTCTATTTCTAGGATCCACACAAAGCATTACCCGAGGACAGCCTGGGACTCCCGGGGGCGGCTGCTCCCTTTCCGGTCTTGGGGGTCGGACAGGCCGCCGATGGTCACCTGAAAGAGAACACAAAATCCAGCTTCCAAACCTCCCAGTGAGGTGGAAAGGGCCTAGAAGGGTCTAAGGTGAGGCAGCATCACCTTGTGTTGGCAACACGTTGCCCAGCAGCTCCAACCCTCGCCCTCCCGGTGGGACTGCCTTCCCTGTTCCCCAGTGTGAGCCCATGTGCACCTGTGGCCCCCTAGCATTGTGGCTCCTGGTAGGATGCCAGCAGCGGGGCCGCCACAGCCAGGCCCTGGGAGGGGCAGTGTGGCCGAGCAGGACTTAACAGAAAAGGGCTCAGTGCCGCTGAAAGTCTCCTTCCAGAGTTGGAGTCTGGGGTGCTGCTCCAAATCGCCCCCCACCGCACAAATCCCACTCAGAGAGGACCATGTGGCTTCAGGCCAGCCCAGTAGACACCCCATTTCCCCTGGGACAGCTGCCTGGCTGGGCAGGGACGCCTGGGAGCAAGGCTGAGCTTCCAGAAGAGACAGAGCTAGAGGCTTCCCTCCCTAACCCCTCTCCCCTCCACCCCTGTCAAACCCACAAGACTCACGGGGTCTGGGTACGAGACGTCTCACGCTCAAGGCCGAGGGCTGTGAGGTTCCTGGAACTTGGGGAGCTCTGATGGCGGGGTCCCCACTGCTGCATTCTCCACGAGGCATGGACAGGGAAATCACCTCTGGCTTGTGTGTGGGAAGCTGAAACAACAATTTCTGAGAGGGGCTGGCGGTAAGTACACGTGAGGAGGGGTTGTGTTAAGGTGGGGACTCCAGACTAATCTCATTAGCACTTTCTCCCTCAGTCAGCCCCACGACAGGAGGGCTTGCGTAACAGCTAGGGAAGGAGGAATTGGGAAGAGGATGAGTCTAGAGGCCCAAGCTTTGCGGCCCACACTTTCAGGGGTCCCCCGATCCAAACCAGCTTCTCTCTGGGGTAGGAGCCTTCCATCCCAGCTCCTCCTGGGGGAGGAGGCAGGACAACTGCAGTGTCCAGAGCCGGGCCTGGCACACACCGAGTGCCGCCTTTAATGTGTGCCCCTACGAGGAGGACCCCAATCGGGCCTCCTAGTGTCCCTGGGCTCCCGATGACAACCCTCGAGCAAGGGATAGGGGAGGCATGGGTAAAGAGGTGTGTGCTGGAAGAGAGGTGGGCCATGGGGAGACAGAGGAGGAAGAGGAGGAGGAGAACAAGGAGGAGAAGGAGGAGTGCGGCAAAGAGGACCTACTCACTTGGGCCCTTGGGACCTCATCTCTATTCGTGTCATTATCTTCTCCGGCCGCAGCCTGGGACTCTCTGGTTTTTCTTCCCGCAGATTTCTTCCCAGGGCTGCAGTGCTTGAGCTCCTTGGGTCTCCCGGACTTCCCCAGGAGACCCACACCAGAGACTGGCGGAAAGCTGGCCGGATCCTGCGGAATTGTTGAACGTCTCTGCCCCCAGGCAGGAAAGGCTCCCTCCGGGGCCCGTTTTGGCTCACCCCCTAGGGATTTCTTGTCCTGGGCCACCTTCCTTCCTGGAGAGCCCCGGGGTACTGGCCCTGTAACAGCAGCTCCTGAGCAGCTGGGCCTGACCCCCACCTTTCCCCAGGCCGTGCTCCGCATTTTCTTCGAGGAAGACGCGTCCAGCTTTCCCACGGCGGGCCCCTCCACGGCTGGAGTGAGTCTGTGGGGAGCAGAGATCAGGAGAGGGTCCTGAACTTGACGGTTGCTCTCCCTGCGGTGGAAACTCGGGAGTCTGCAAGTGTCTGCTGGCTTCTTGGGGCTTCCGGGCTTGACCTGGCTTCCTTCTTTGGTGCGAATGATTACCCTAATCACCGGTAAGTGGCTGCTCTCATCTGTGGCATCAGAGTCCGCGTCCTCAGACAGCACAGCGGGGCCTTCCGCGGAGGGTTGCTGGGGATCCACTGGGACGCTCACACTGGTGCTCTTCGAGCCCCTTTCCGGGTTCTCCCAGGCCGCGCCTGTCCCAGGACCACCGAGGCGGAGAGGGCCGGCGGAGGCCTGCTGCCATTCTCCTGGGCTGGCGCCCGGAGCGCCTCTCCCACTGGGACCGACCCCCCGGGCGTCAACCGGGGTGCCAGGCCGGCCTTCCTGTCGCCAGAGCACCACCCTTTGCTGCTTTATCATTTCACTCTCAGACTCGAAGCTGAAGCCCTCGGGATCTGCGAACCGGCTCTCGCCCTGCCCCTCACCACTGCGCTGTGCCCCCAAATCAAGGCCACGGCCGTGGCCATGGCCCCGGCCCCATGGGGCTCCGGGGCTTGCGGTGTGGGCGCCGGCCTGGTCGCCACCCTCTGGGCCCAGATCGGCCCCCAAAACGGACACCTCATCGGGGGAGCTCATGGCACCAATCCGGTCAGCCTGGGCTGTGGGGAGATGGTCGTCCTGGTAATGGTGGGAGGGGAGAGCTGACCCCAGCCAAGCCCAGCTGAGCGGGCCAGGCCACGGGAACGGCGAGGCCTTCGCGACAGTGCCGCCCTCACCACAGGCTGCTCAAGAGATGTCCCTGACATCGCGTGGCTTCCAGGCGCCCTCCATTCCCGGGCCCGTCATTGTTCCTCGCCTTTTCATTGGTCCGTCCACCGCCAACCAGCGCGCCCCTTGTTGGGCGAGGCCTCTGGGCTTTACCCAATCGGGAGGCAGGCTCTTGGATTGCCCCGATGCCCGTGGTTTGACTGGGTGGTTGTTCTCGGTTCCTGTCTTGGGACCAGGACACGCTGGGGCTCTCCACCCACATCTCTCTTCCTGTCCTGCCGCCTCTGACCAGGCACCTAGTTTCCAACGAGAGCCATACCTCTGAGCAATGAAGTTCCGTTTGGTGTCATATTCTAAGAATCCAATGCCAAATACAAAGTCATGATTTACTCCTATGTTTTGTTCTGCAAGTTTTGTAATTTTAACTCTTACATTTATGTTTTGAATTCATTTTGAGTTAATTTTTGTAGAAGGTATGAGGTACGGGTCCAACTTCATTCTTTGGCATGTGGATAACCACTTAGCCTAGCATAATTTCTTTCAGAAAAGATTATTTCCCCCGTGAATGGCCTTGGCACGCTCTTGAAAATCAATTTGGCATAGGCTGACTCCCACAGATTCAGGCGCCAGGCTGGCCCTTGCAGTCCCAGGCTCCAGATCACCCCTGTACATTGTCTTCAGTTCCACCCCAGTGCCGGTCCGGCCCACAGAGACTCAGGCTCCAGGCCCACCTCATCACCAGGCAGGCTCTGGTTGTCCCAGGCTCCAAAGAGGCCCCATGGCCAGGCTGCTCCCTCAGCCCTAGACTCTGGGTGCACCCATGAACCAAGCCTCCAGGCCTGCGTGGGGGCAAGGCTAGCTTCACAGCCCCAGGCCCTGGGCTGGCACCCATGGACTGACCCGCCAGGCCTGCCACGAACCCAGGGTGGCCCTGCAGCCTCAGACTCCAGGAAAGCCTCCAGAGCTCCAGACCCCAGGGTGGCACATGCAGACATCAACTGCAGACCAGTCCCCACAGTCCGAGACTTCAGGCTTGGACTCGTGGATCGGGCTTCCAGACCCTCCTCAGTGTCCGGACAACCCCTACTGACCCTGGACCTCGTCTGCTTCAATGATAGGCTGGCTTCTGTAGAATCAGACTTCAGGCTGGCACCCATAGACCTAGCCTCTGTACCCACTCCAGCTCGAGGCTGACCTCTGTGACCTCAAGTACCAGGCCAGCACCAGCAAAGCCAGCTTCCGGGCCAGCCCCCAAGGATTAAAGGCCCCAGGTTTGCCCAGTGCCAGCCTAGTGCCCTTGGCCTCAGTCTCCTGGCTGACTCTCTCAGACTCAGGCTCCCAGGCCCACCCCAGCCTCCAGACAGGCAGAGGGCACATCTGAGCCATACGGCCTCAGGCTTCAAGTTCTCCCTGGTGCAAAACTGGCCCCATATAGCCCTAGGCTGCAGGCCGACACCCATGGAAACAACCTCCACATCTACCTCAATGTGAGGTTGGTACACATGGCCTCAGACCCCTAGCTGGCACCGGCAGGCCCAGCCTCCAGGCTGGCCCCGCAGATGCATGCTCCAGGACTACCCAGGGCTACGCCAGCCCTTGTGGCCCCAGACTCCCGGCTGACCCCTGTGTCCCCATGCACTGCAGACCCAGGGTCCAAGCCTGCCAGAGTAGACCCAGGGTCTAGGCCTATCCCAGCAGACCTCAGCTGTGGCCTGGCCTAGAGACCTCGGTTTCTGGTCTGTGCACCCAGGTTTCAGGTTGGTCTGCCTGGCCCCAAATCAGGACTCAGGCCCAAATCCATGAACCCAGGTGCCAGGTTCACCCTACCTGCTCACCAAGCCAGCTTTCCTGAGAATTCCAGCAGCAACCCATCCATGGACCACGCCAGATGGTCTTCCCAGAATCTCTGGATGGACTGACCGGTGAAGGGCTTTCCCAGCCAGAGCCACTCATCAAACACCGGAATAGGTCCCTACTTCCGTAAATGCACAGACACCAATGCGCACCCACAAAGCTCACACTCAATCAGGGAATCATGACGCTACCATAGGACGAAGTAAAGCTCCACTGATCGAC